TGTAACTTGCGTTACTTGTAATATATTACCCCCAACACTGGTAATAGTTTGATTAAATTTATATTTGCAAGAATATTTAAAAATTGCTGAATTAGTTTTACATAACTGATTGAATGTTATGTACTTCCACCCACATCTGTAGATCATTTTAAAAGAGGGCAGCTATGGATGGAGAAGAGAAGTCATCCTCTGCTCGGCATTATCGTGTTGTCTTACTGGGAAAAACAGGAAATGGGAAAAGTGCTACTGGAAACAACATCTTGGGAAGAAAAGCTTTCCTTTCAAAGTTAAGCTTTAAAACTGTAACACAAGAAGTTAAATATGAAAGCATCAACATAGATGGAGCGAATCTTACAATTTATGACACACCAGGATTATTTGACCCTGACAACGAACTGAGCCCTGAAGAGATGTTATATCAGGGGCTTCCAGAGTTATATATGCCAGACCCGCTTGTGATTCTGCTGGTGATCAGACCTACAAGATTCACTCCAGAAGAGAAAAGAACCGTTGAGATTATTGAAGATTATTTGACGGGCGGGCTCGTAAAAAACACCTGGATCATATTCACTGGAGGAGATGAGCTGGAGAGAGAAGGTCTCACCATAGAGGATTTAATCGAAGAATCAGAGGATCTGAAAAAAGTTGTCCAGAAATTTGACAACAGATACTTTGTCTTTAATAATGTCACACAACATCCTGAACATCATGAAGTGAAAAAACTGATTAAAGCCATTAGAAATGTTCAACCTCTGAGATGTAAGTAGCAGTTCATGCAATTGTGTTTTTCTATTATTATATTGAGTTACTTAAAATAATTGCTCAGTATAATTACTTATTATTACGTATTATAGACATTTTCATCCCTTTAGGCACACAATATTGTTAGTGAAATGATTATATTCATAATATGAGAGAGCAATGGCTATTCAATTTTGATATTTATTATTATTATTAATATTTATTTTATCATGATTATTTTATTTCTTCTTTTTCCAATGTTCAACAGCTCCAGAGATAGACACTTTTCTACAGAGAAAGTCACCAGCTGAGCATGAAACCAGCACCAATAAGAGGAGGTTACTTCTTCTGGGGAAGTCCGGCTCTGGAAAGAGTGCAACAGGGAACACCATACTGAGACAAAATCTGTTTAAATCTGAGCTCAGCTTAAGCTCAGTAACAAAACAGTGTGAAATGCATACATCAGGTGTTTTAGGGAGAGAAGTGTCCATCGTTGATACTCCTGGATTTTCAGATCTAGCTTCAAAACCTGAAGATTTAGCCAAAGAAATGGCAAATAGTGTTGCCCTCTGCAGTCCAGGGCCTCATGCCTTCCTGTATGTGGTGTCACTCACAGGAAAAATCAAACAGGAAGATGAAAATCACATAAAAAATATTGAAATGATTTACGGAGAAGACGTAGCAAAGTACATAATCCCTGTATTCACCCACAGCGATCAGTTAGAGGGAAAGAGTGTGGAAGATCTCATCAGAGAGAATAAAACTCTTAGCAGTTTTGTTCAGCAGTGTGGAGGAAGATACCACATCATGAACAATAAAGACATGAGAAACAGAAAACAGGTGACAGACCTACTGCAGAAGATTGACACAATGACCGAGCAGAACGGAGGAGGACACTACAGTAACCAGATGCTTGAAGATGCTCAGAGATTCAGACGAGAGGAAGAAGAGAGACAGAGAGAGAGAGAAGAGAGGAGACCGAGAGATGATCTACATACTGAACCTGTGCTGGGAGCAAAGGAAAGCTGGACTCGGAGAGCATGGAAGAATACTAAAGAATTTGTATACAAGAAATTCTTTAGGCATTTTATTACTGCAGCTCAAATGATTT